TGTTCCCTCATCCAGGTCACTGATGAAGATATTGAACAAAACTGAACCTAGTACTGATCCCTGGGGAACACCACTGGCCACAGGCCTCCAACTTGACTCTCTGCCGCTGATCACAACCCTTTGAACTCTTGCTGAGCCAGTTCACAAACCACCTCACAGTCCATCTATCTATCATCTATCCCACATTTCTTGAGTTTATCTACGAGGATATTCTGGGGGACAGTATCAAAAGCCTTACTGAAGTCGAGGTGTATGACAGCCACTGCTCTCCCTTCATCAACCCCTTTGGTTATGCATTTGTAGAAGGATATCAGATTAGTCAGGCAAGATTTCTCTGTAAATCCATGCTGACTATTCCTAATAACCTTCTTTTGTTCCAGTCCATTACAGATGGCCTTCAGAATGAGCCACTCCATCATCTTCCCAGGGATGGAGGTGAGGCTGACTGGCCTGTAGTTTCCAGGGTTCTCCTTCTTGCACCTTTTGAAGACTGGAGTGATACTGGGGTTTTTTTCCCAGTCCTTGGGCACCTCTCCCATTCCCCATGATTTTTCAAAGATGATGGAGAGCAACTCAGCCACAGCATCAGCCAACTCTCTCAGCACACGTGGATGCACCACACTGTGGCCCACGGATTTGTGTGTTTTCAGTTTTTGTAATAGTTCTCTAACCAAATCCTCAGTGACCAGTGGAGACTCATTCTCACTCCAGTTTTGCTCCTTTACTTCCAGTGACTGGAATTCCTGGGGGCTGGCCTTAGGAGTAAAGACTGAGGCAAAGAAGGCATTCAGTAATTCTTCCATCTCTGCATCCTCTGTTATCATATCTCCCACCATATTTAGCAGCGGATCCACCTTTTCCCTACTCTTCCTTTTCTTGTATTATTCTAGGCCGGGTTGGATGGGGCTTTGAGCAACTTGCTCTACTGTAAGATGTCCCTGTCCATGGCAGAAGGGCTGGAACTGGATGATCTCCAAGGTCCCTTCCAACTCAAACCATTCTATGATTCCATGATTCTGATTCTGTGGTATCAAGAGCTCTCAGTTCTGCATATCTGGTTGTCAACAAAAGAGGCACTTGTACAACTCAATGGCATTAGTTACAGTATTATACACCGAATCTAGACATGATTCTACCTAACCTATTAGTTATGGTGTCCAGGGTTAAGGCTGAGCCAGCCATTGAACAAATCACAGATGCTATTAAGCTGTGTGTTGCCAAAGAGGAATGGAGCAGTGAAAGAGAGGAAGAGATTTACAGACTGAAAAATAAAACTAAAACAGCTTTAATGAAACAATAATGGTACTGAAAAGAAAATAATGAAAGTAGTGAAATATATACAAATACACACAAACCTACTATATAGCCCAACCTCCCAACATCAATCACAACTGATGTTGCAAAGCAGGCAGGAAATGGGGAAGTCCCAGACTGGGCTCAGTGGCAGAGAAGAACCAGATACAGGAGCTGGATTTAGGTGTGGGATTCAGGAACTCATGGATTGGGACTGAGGGCAACAGGATGGCTGGATTCCTCCTTAGATGCTGAACATCGAAGAAGTGAGCTTAACCCTTGTGACCCCCTCAGATTTTTACTGAGTATGAGGCATATGAATGGAATACTTTCGTTCGTCAGGTTTCAGTCACCTGTCCTGTCCGTGTCACCCCTAAGGTGCAACCTTTTACTTCTTTGTGAACTTTTTACTTCCCAGCACTCCCAATGTGTTACACAAAATTTAGCAGTGACCTTGGTTGCTATAGGAGCACGTATAAGCAAGAGCTTTTCTGCATACTGATCCTTGGTATTAACTATAAGCATCAGGTGTTACCACTTCTAGTAGCAGAATCTGTCTGCAAAACGCTGCTGTTAGCTTCAGAAAGAGCAGCCTCTTAGGAGAGACTTATCTGTAAAGTAAAATCACTGAACAGAATCAGTTCTGGTTTAGTTTGAACCAGGCCATATGGTCAGCTACAATGTTTCTCCACATGGTTTAATTATCTGATCTCTATACAGTGTTAATAATTTTTTTCACAGAAATACTCACTTGAAGTTGATGGACCATCCAATAAAGTATATTTTCTTAGAAAAGCTTTTAATGTGGTGGACTATCCATTATCAGATGAACTGTTCATCTGGATCATCCACAAGGGTATATTTTTCTTCAGATGAATTTAACATTTTTTTAAGAACACTAATTAACCACTGGTGATTTATTTAGAGCCTTGAGTCCTCTAGTTTCATTCTGTCCTAACAGTTTCAAAGCTTCTGTTACCATCTTGCATTCACAATTTTGGGAACCTCTGGTAAAGCCCCCATTTTTTCTTCAAATGTCTTTAAGCTTTTCTTCTTGTAGCTAATGGTTTATTACCATGATCTAGTTATGCATAGCTCCTTGTTTTAGGTCCATTCAGTGTTTCATTCCACAGAGTAGCAGTGAACTAAAAGATATACAAGTCATAAGACAAGCACAGATGAAAATAATGATCTGACACTACTTGCTAACAGTGTCTACTATTTATGGCAACATTGCTAGAGCATAATCAAATTTATTTTACAGCAGGCACTATGTTACTGTATTTTCTAAAATTTGCTGTGCAATGGATAGATAGCACATTTTTGCCAGTGTTTGGGAGTCTGAACATTTTGTAACTCTTTCCACCTTTTAACAAGTTTAATTTTACCACCTTGATAAAAGATTTTTTTAAGTTCTGCTGTATGAGAAAGATCTTGTAGGGCTCCCTTGCTGTGGCAGCTGAAGTCAGCAGGGTCTACTGTGTCCCTGGCCCTGATGCACAGCATGAGATACTGTTAGACTTTAGCTGAGAACACCACTCCATCAAAGAGAAAGATGATTCTGACCGTACTGTAGCCTGTCTCTTTGTACATGATATTTCTAAACCCAGCAGAGACTATAAGCTCACACTCTTATTGCTGAGCAGAACATCTGAAGTTCCCATTGGTCTTAAGGGATACAAACGACATTTTGTATCTGTTGGCATAAGACACCTGTTCTTTCCACGATCTCTTCAAATGGTGCTGAGTGGAAAGATGAATTCCATTTTGAAGTTGACCTCCATACTGACATATCAAAAATAGCTGAGTATGTGTTTGTTGGGTGAAAGAAATTTATTGGATTGATCTATTAGAACAGTGAAGAATTTCATTGTTTGGAACACTGCAGACTAATTGCCTTTCATTTTGTCAGATGAATTGGAAGCAATACACAAATAGCTTTCCAAAATTTTGTTTTGAGTCTCTTGTATCTTCTTGGGGTCTTAAGTCTTTATCACACAATTTTTTGATACTCCTCTTCCATGGTTGCTCACATGTAATTTTGGCAGCCAGACTTTTGCTGGCAGAACTGTGAAATTGGCACAGCAGTTAATGTGCCACTTGTCACTCTCAAAAGTACTGTTTATTTCACTGGATATGTTTTGTATAAAAGCTGTTATACAAAACAAGAAAACAAAATATTTTATGGAAGACAGACAGACATACAAGAAGTACTTATGCTGAAATTTTGGAGTATGTAGTTTGCTGTTCCCACTTCTACTGTATAGCTTTAGCTTGCTATGTACACGAGATTTCAAGATTTTTTTTGTCATTATCTGGAAATCACTCACAACGGACTTGGTGTCTCTAGGTGCTACTTATACTGTAGAAATTTCCTATGGATGGGATATTCTCTTTTCTGAGGAAGCTGGGATTGTTCAGCCTGGAGGAGAGAAGACTCAGGGGGAGCCTAATATTTGCCTTCCGATACCTGAAACGGACCTAAAAGAAAGCTGGAGAGGGACTTTTTACAAGAGTGTCCACTGATAGGACAAGGGGAAATGGGTTTAAGTTGAAGGAGAATAGACTTAGATTAGATTGGATCTTAGAAAGAAATTCTTCAGTATGAAAATGGCAAGACTTTGGAATAAATTGTAGGGAATAAATTCCAAAACTTTGGAATAAACTGTAAATATGATTTAGCTGTACATACCAGTTTGGGGATGGGTGAAAATGACGTTCTTTGTGTAGTTTTTGAAAAGTCTCTGTAGGAGTGCAGATCCTTGATGTCACCTTGAGGGAATTCATCAAAATGTGATCTAATTTGGCTGACCTGTTTGCCAAGGTAGACATGTAGTTTTCAATCTTTGAACATTTTGTTGATCGGAGAGAAAGCAGAGTATCAATTTATAACTTTTGACAGCTTCAGCAATGGCCCTTTCTGTCAGGCACTGTCATGTATAGAGGAGAGAGCAACAAGCACAGCTGCTATCCTTAATTTCTTTTGATAAAACACTTTTATACAGGTGGTCAGTGCTTGAAACAGATGACATTAACTGTGACCAAACACTTGCATCTCAAGGTCTTTTATGAGCATTGTCTCCTTAATTGCTGATACTCATTTTCATACTTAACAAGGAAATTCTTTACGAAGTCCATTACAAGATTGCTATTTTGTGCCTACTGCACTGTATTTACATCCTAAAGTGAAACTATGTCCTTCTGTGAGTCAAAAAGGAATTTCTCCACTTCTGTTTAATCACGGAATTCCATAATCATAGAATCATAGAATGGCCTAGGCTGGAAGGGACCTTAGAGATCATTTTAATCCAGCGTCCCTGTCGCGAGGATGGCCACCTCTTGATTAGATCAGGCAACACATGGGGACCGAACGGGAATCGAACCCGCGACTTTGGCATTGTTAGCACCACGCTCAACTGACTGAGTTAATCGACCCCCTAAATAATGTTCTATAACACACAGATACAAAACAATCAACTAACCAAATAAAATGATTGCAAAAGATTATCTTTTTAAATTGCTTTATTTTGTGATTATGATGATAATAGCACACATCTTCACTTTGTAAGGGTTTTGGATTTATTACCATACTAGCATTGCATTATGAAGAACCTGCTCAATCTCTAATTAGTATTTTTACTCCAAAAATATATTTTCTGGAAAATTGCTGCAAAGATATTTATCCTAATTGGGATTCTTTTTTCCAGGGAGTGCTGGAACACCTGTTATCTTCAACGAAAATGGAGATGCTCCTGGACGCTATGATATTTTTCAATATCAAATCACCAACAAGAGTACAGAGTACAAAGTAATTGGTCAATGGACTAACCAACTTCATCTAAATGTAAGTACTTGTTTGTGATGCTGATATTGGAGAATACTCATTTGAGTATTACATTATTTCAAACCACTATAAAATATTGATGATTTATTCGCTGTTCATTGGCAGAAGAAAACTCTGATTCTGTTCTTGAGAAGACAGTAAAAGCACAATAACCTAAACCAATTTTTTTATAGTTAACCTTAGTACAGTCTCTTATTATTTAATAGGAGAAGAAACAAAAAATATTACAACTTACCCATCCTTAAGGGGCTATTCTAATTGCTGCCTTAACAAGTTCTGCAACTTTTGTGGTCCATCTCTGCCCACCTCTGCATGGAATTTTATTTGTTTTGAAAATCACCATCCCAATATGACTTAGATAATATGGTATGCAATATTTGTATGACAGCTAAGCATCAAGCTACAGCAGTAACTTGGAAAGTTGTTGGGTCCAAGGCACTTCTTTCTGACAAAAGATGGCTGTATGAGAGGACATTTGCAGTCATGATAAAAGTGATGTTAACCTGTTTCCTTGTTAGCTGTGCAATATTTACAAGGTTTACTTGAAATATGCTAGCTGCAAATGTGAAATATCAAGTGTTGTTTTGCCAAGGGCTGATGAGAAGGGCAACAGTATGAATTGATGACTAGATTTGCCAAAAGGAGTAATGCAGTGACTTTAATCAAACTGCAAAAAGCAGGTTTTAAACATCTCTGGTTTTCTACATGAAAGGTTATTGAAGAAGAAAAACAAAGACAATGTAGTATTTACAAATTATTCTCCTGTTGAGACATATGACACATAAGATAGCTCTCCATTAACAGCCACAGCTGTTAAGTGGCTTTACCATATCTACCAATAAGTATCTATAACTACTTGGCAAGGACTCATTTCTTTAATTCTTCTGCCCAAATAGAAAAAACCCTACCAACAGAAAAGGTGTGTAGTAGATGGTGCGATAATGTTATCCACTAACCTGATATTTGTCTTTGTTGCAAGGCATGAAAGAAAAAAATGGTTAAACATTTAAAGATTAACACTAAATAGTAATTTCTAGAAAACACTGGACAGATACCTTTATCCTCGTAGAAGCTATGCTAGGCCACATGGATAATAAGGAGGTGATCAGTGACAGCCAGCATGGCTTCACTGAGGGCAAATTGTGCCTGGCATATTTGGTGGCCTTTTACAATGGGATTAAAGCATTGGTGGATAAGGGAAGAGCAACTGACATCATCTACCTGGACTTGTGCATGTGGCACTGTCCCACATGACATCCTGGTCATTGGAGATGCATGGACTTGACAGATGGACCACTCAGTAGATAAAGAATTGACTCAGAGATTTGTGGTGAACAGTTCAATGGCTGACTAGAAACCATTGACAAATTGTTTTCTTCAGGGGTCGATATTGGGGCCAGTGCTGTTTAACCTCTTTTTGGGCATCATAGATAGTGGGATAGAGTGCACTCTCAGTAAATTTACTAGTCACATCTAGCTGTGTAGTGCAGTTGAGATGCTAGAGGGAAGGCACCTTGACAAGACTGAAAGATGGGCTCATGGAAACCTCATGAAGTTCAAAAAGGCCAAGTGCAAGGCCTTGCACCTTGTCAGGGCAATCCCAAGCACAAATACAGGCTGGGTGATGAGTCGACTGAGAGCAGCCCTGCAGAGAAGAGCTTGAAGGTATTGATTGATGAGAAGCTTGACATGACCTGGCAATGTACATCTGCAGCCCAGAAGGACAGTTGCATGCTGGGTTGTACCAAAAGAAGCGGGACCAATAGGTCAAGGGAGGTGATTCTTCCCCTCTATTCTGCTCTCATGAGGCCCCACCTGCAGAACTATGTTCAGCTCTGGGGCCCCCAACATAAGAAGGACATGGAGCACTATAGGCTGGGCAGTGACTGGCTTGAGAGCAGCCCTGAAGAAAAGGACTTGGGAGTAATGGTAGATGAGAAGCTCAATATGAGCCGTCAGTGCACACTTGCAGCCCAGAAAGCCAATCGTGTCCTGGGCTGCATCAAGAGGTGCGTGGCCAGCAGGTCGGGGGAGGTGATTCTTCCCCTCTACTCCACTCTTGTGAGACCCCACCAGGAGTACTGTGTCCAGTTCTGGAGCCCACAGCACAAGAAAGGTATGAACATGCTGGAGCGTGTCCAGAGAAGGGCCATGAGGATGATTAGAGGGCTGGAGCACCTCTCTTATGAAGACAGACTGAGAGAGTTAGGGCTGTTCAGTCTGGGAAAAATAAGGCTCCAAGGAGACCTTACTGTGGCCTTCCAGCATCTTAAGGGGGCCTACAAGAAAGCTGGTGAGGGGCTCTTTAGGAAGTTGGGTAGTGATAGGACTAGAGAGAATGGACTGAAGCTGGAGATGGATCGGTTCAGATTGGATGTTAGGAAGAAGTTCTTCCCCATGAGGGTGGTGAGACACTGGGACAGGTTGCCCAGAGAAGTAGTGGAAGCCCCATCCCTGGAAGTCTTTAAGGCCAGGCTGGATGGGGCTCTGGGCAACCTGATCTAGTGGGGGATGTCCCTGCCCCTCGCAGGGGGGTTGGAACCAGATGATCTTTAAGGTCCCTTCCAACCCTGACAATTCTATCATTCTATGATTCTATGACCTGTTGCAGTGAGTCCAGAGGAGGGTTGCAAAGATGATCAGACGGCTGGAGCACCTCCCCTTTGAGGGCAGGCTGAGAGAGCTGGTGTTGTTCAGCCTGGAGAAGAGAAGAGTCCAAGGAGACTTTATAGTGGTCTTACAGTACTTAAAGAGTGCCTACAGAAAAGAAGGGTAGAGACTCTTTATCAGTGGTTTCAAACTGAAAGAAAGCAGATTTTTATTAGATATTAGAAAGAAACTCTTTTCCATGAGAGTGGTGAGACACTGGAACAGGTTGCCAAGAGAATTTGTGAATGTCCCAACCTTGGAAGTTTTCAAGGCCAGATTGGATGGGGCTTGGAGAAACCTGGTCTAGTGGGAGGTTTCCCTGCTCATGGCAGGGAACTTGGAACTAGATGATCTTTAAGATCCCTTGCATTCCAAATCATTCTGTGATTCTATGGTTCTATGATTCTATCATGATTTTATAATTCTATGATTCTGGCATACATTCCAGATCTTCACAACTGCTACAGTTTTCAGAAAATCTTATTAACTGAGCTGAAAAACTGATATACAAATTTTGCACAAATGTTATTATGAACATAGTATTACATGTTAGTAGGTAAAAACTACTTTAGAATTTGCTTCAATTTTAATTCCATTCCAATCTGCCTTTCTCTATCCCTTCCTACAGTGCTAAATTTTTCATTAAGCCTGTAGCTTTTCTGTGTCGTTATTTCATTCTGATGTATGTGTGCTCCAGGGACCTCTCTGAAATATGATTAGATTGGCTTCTGCTCAGACTGCTGGAACCATGTCATGCTAACCACATTGACCACAAAGCTAACAGGAAAGGATTTATCTAAGGACTCCCCTTGTCAACTTCCATTGGATATTTTAGGATGTTCTTTGCCTCTCTTTTTTTTTTTTGTCTTTTTTTTTTTTAACGTCCTTTTTCTTTACTCATTTATCCTTACTTAAAGCCAGGAACATTTCTAAAGAAGTGACTGAGCTATATTTCTTAAAGTTTGTCAAGGCTCGAGATGCTGGATGCTGGTATCCATAAGTATCTGCAGGCACTGATATGGTAAGAATGGTGAAGGATGTCCTAATAGGAATGGCAGAGTTTTTCCATCTGTTTCTGTATTCACTAAACTTACTTAGCATGTGTCAGTGGTAATTATGCCACATGATGATCTTCTGTGACAAAGCTATTGCCTCTTCTCACCAGACAAAATGTACTAAACCCAAGTAATCTTTGTGAATGATAGTCAATATTCCAAATCATTGTATTGCAAATTAGGTAGTGCCTTTGATTGCCAATGAATCAGAGGGAACACAGTGGATGTTTTCATTGGTTTCAGTGAAAACATCTATATTTATTGAAGGCGAAGTTGTATTAAGACAGCAGAGTGCTTTTTACCCTGCTGTTCTATACAGGAGATGCTTTTAAAATATAATACTTTTTCTACTGTCTCCTTCTTTCTCCTGCAGTTTCTGTTTAATGAATACACATCTAACTGACTTTTAATGAATTTCTGTCAGCTAGATATCCTTTATAGATACTTTTGCTCCTGTTTCTACAGATATTTCTTCCTCAAATTGTGTGGTAACATGCTGTAGCTATGATATGTTTGTGATTATGTTCGTCTGTACAGCTGATATTGTGCTTCAGAAAATTCATAGCTCTTATTCATAGAATCATAGAATGGCCTAGGCATCTCTTTAACTTATATGACAGAAAGATAAATCATGAAAGTACCAGGTTTGTAGTACAGTTCAAACTTGGGAACAATTAATGTAATTAAGACTAAACCATAGCTTGCATCTCCCCTTCCTTCTTGGTTTCCTTTTCCTTAGCATGTTCTTTGATATTTTCTGTTGAGTTTTGGCAGTGGGTCTCTGTTGAGTGGGCTTTGGTTCCTCATCCAGTACCGGGCCAGCCTTGGTCCTGTCTCTGACCCCAACCCTCAGGATTCAGGTTCCTCAGAGATTTCACTGACTGTATAGTGTCCTTGTGGTTAAGCTTCAGACTTGGTCCTTTCCTGGTGTGGTGCTGGCTTTCCCTTTAGGCAAAAAATGATGACTTTGGCTGGAAGAAGACTCTGTGTCACGCTCCCTATGGGGCTCTTTGTCAGCAGACTTCACCAGCTGCAAAGACCCTTAGAGCTGTGATGAGGGTTTCTCCCCGTAGTCCTGAGTAATACAAATGCTCCCCTTCAGGCAGACTGACCTTTCAGAGTTCTATAGCTTCCAGGTTCAGGAAATTCATGATTTCTGATCAGTACTACTCTCGCAATTCTTACAAAAAAAATGCATGCGTGACAATGCTGAGAGATACAGTATATAAGCTAAATTAAAAAAGAATTACAATATTCAAATTTGAAATTTTTAATGTGATATTTTAATAAGGTATC